AAAAATATTTAAGAAAATCAAAAAAAATTTGGAATGATTTTTAAAATTTTTTTATTTAAGTGAAAACCGGGTATTTTAATACCGGACTTGTATCTTAGCATGTAAGTATACAACCCAATATTAAGCAAAATTTGTAGAAAAATATTTTAAAAAATCACAAATTTTTTGAAATGATTTTTAGAATTTTTTTAGAATTTTTTTTTAGTTTATATAATATAATATAATATTAAGCAAAAATGGGTGGGCCGAAATGGGCCCAAAACTCTTGGTTTGGGCCGAGCCGGGCCCAAACACATGGGCTGGGCCATAGTTGGCCCGACCCAATAACTAATTAATTAGCTGCTGCATGCAGAATTTGCATGCAGCAGCTACAATAACAAAGGGGAGCTATAATAATGAAGGGGAGGGGGATGATCGGTAGATTAGGAAGGAGACTTACTTGGCGTTGGAGAGCTGGCGGTCTAGTGGAGGACGACGGCGTGGCTGGTGGCTGCAACTGTGGAGTCCGGCGACGGTGGTGGTGGTGGCTGAAGGCCACGGTGGAGAGGGAAAGAAAGAAAAATTGCAGAATCCTGCAGAAAAAAGTGATTGTTTGCTGACTTTAGGCTCGATTTTCTCCTGCTTCTGAGCATGCAATTTGCTCCTATTTATAGGGCGGGAAAGAGGGTAATCTCGTCTTCAACGGAGAAAACTTCTCAGCCCCTGATTTGACTCGAGGAATCCAGGCCGTTGGCTCAAAGTGTGCACCTCGAACTGCCAAATTTGGCAAATCCAAGGCTACAGGCTACCCGAGGTGGCCACTTTGGGCTAATAAACGGAGCCATTTCAAAGCTTTTCAACCCGACCAAACCATTCTCCAAGATAAACGGGTTGCAGGTGGACATGTGGGTTCATGAGTTGTCAGATTTGGTGGCTAAACGAGGAAGAAAATGCTCCTGGAAAGCTGCTACTCGGGCATCTTTTCAGGGAAGACGATGAACAGTAACCCGGTGAGGATCACTTTTTTTTTTTTTTGAATCCTAAAACCACGCCGTTTTGGATTAAAAATTAGGGATTTGTTTAATGTGGTCCTCCAACTTTAAATTTATTTCAATCAAATCCCTAATTGACCCTAAACGTCTGATTTAGTGCAATTTGGTCCCCGCTTAACTTTAACTTCAGTCCCAGATTTACGTGCCTTTTACAATATGATCTTTGGTCTCAGATTTTATCAATTTAACTCCTAATTGGCCCCAAAACTTCAATTTTCTATCAATTTGGCCCCTGATTTCCATCAATTAACTTGGTAAAAATTAGATTTGGTCTCTTAAAATTCCAATCTTCTCAATTAAGCCTAAATTAGGCTCCCAAACTTAATGTTTTACCAATTAAGCCCCAAATAAAATTAATTTGACCCATTTAAAGTATAATTAAGTCCTTGCACTTAATTAAATCCTTCATTTGGACCTAAATTAATACTTAAACATAACCAATTAATTGGGTAAAAATTAAATTTGGTCTCTTAAAATTCCAATCTTCTCAATTAAGCCCAAATTAGGCTTCCAAACTTAATGTTTTACCAATTAAACCCCAAATAAAATTAATTTGACCCATTTAAAGTATAATTAAGTTCTTGCACTTAATTAAATCCTTCATTTGGTCCTAAATTAATCCTTAAACATAATTAAAAATTTAATTTGGCCCATGATTGAATCAAATTGGCCTATTAAAAATTAATTATGTTATGGGGCTTAATTTTTATGCAAATTTGTCCCATAATCATTTAATTTGACCTCGAATTTGTATTTTTTCAATTTTGGGCAAAATAGGGCGCTAATAGGTTTTGAATCTCCTCCAAAAATTGCAGTTTGATTTTTGCCTATTTTTGCGGTCTTTCTAGATCAACTTTCTCCACATTGCCAGCCTTTATTTTATTTTTTATTTTTATTTTGAAAAGGAAAAAATGAATTTTGGGGAATAACCCAAAATTAGGTTATGACATAGATAGTCTTCAATTTGAATTTTCCAATATTCAAAATCAGTTCCATCAAAATTTTCAATTCCCGTGGCCTTTATTTCATCTGCCATTTTTAATCTTTCTCGGATTTGAATCTATAAAATCTGACCTTACGAATGTGTTTGGAATGGCCAAAAATGTTGGAAACGACACTAAGATCACCCAAATCGAACTTCGGATGACTCAGATTTAATCAACCAAACTTTTGGATCACTGGACACTGCAGTTAAAGCCACGTGTCAGGAGGAATAGTCTCTGCGCCACACTGAATCAAAACCTAGAATGCTGACGTGTCTGACATGTACGATATGTGAGCCCCACAATTATGATGTGGCAGAGATGACGTGTCAGATGATGTAGCAGGTGACGTGGCTACTGACTATGCAGAACTGCATGCGTGGCTGCTGATGTGTCTGGTCAACCCGGTTCAATTTGCAAAAAACGGGCGAGGAAGATGCATGGAGAGCTTGAGGCGCTTCGGTGCGCGTAGGCAGTGCAGGTGGAGGCGCGTTCAGGCATGCAGGACATCGATTTTTCACCGGGTTTTCACCAATGGATTCCTCTAGTCTTCCTCTTCACGATGATATATTCAAAAACACATTTTGTGAACTTTGATTTTTGAGTTTGGATCAAACACTCTCTTTTTCAAGAACAAGCTCTAATACTAGTTGTTAGGACATTCAAGCATTCAAACACACATCAATTTACATGGTTCGACAACTTGCCTACTCCATGGAGCTATTGGTTTGTATTAATCAAGCTTAAAAACAATACAAACAACAAAACAAGGAGGAGAAGAAAAACTTCTCTACTCAACTCAACTCTCACTCTAGCTCTCTCTGTGTTTTTCTCTATCTCGTGTATCTTAGCTATTAATGGCACCCTCTATTTATAGCTGATATAAGAGACAATCTTTTTCTTTTGGTCAATTATGGTAGGCAACATTTTTTTGGTTAAGTACCCACTATTGACTCTCACCATATCAAGTATGGCTGCCACCAACCATATTGTATCCACACATTACACCAATCCCACTTTCTCACGTGCATTTTTGGTCTTCGATAGATTTCTTTTCACACAAAAAATTGCATTCCCATGTTAGTGGAAGATCCAAACTTCAAGGGAAAGATTTGAAGTCTTAAGAGTTTAATTAGTTTATGACTTCATGTTAAAGTCCCACTTCTGCATTAATGTTCCGAGCATCTGTTGACTCCAAGCTTGGAGTTTCTCATCTTAAGATTTATTCACAATTTAAATTAAGTATCAAAGATAATCTAAAAGCTAATTAATCACACGTCATGTATCTTGGATCAGCATAAGCTTAGGAGCACTGACTTTAAATAAAAATCACATAGAAAGTACCGTCTATTAGAAAGAAACACACACACACACACATATATATATAAGTCATATATATTATCGATGAGTATGATTAATTGTGCATAAAAAAGAATATGTTCAACAAACTAAAATGTAATTAGCAACGCTATTTATAATTTAAGAAATAGATATAAATTTTCAAAAAGAAAAAAAATAGTACTCAATTTTATATTCAATGAAATTTATATAGAGCAAGACAGAAGAGAGAGTACTAAACAAACTAAAATATAATTAACAACTATACTTGTAAGTAAAGAAATAGACATGAATTCTTAAAAAATATCACACTAAATTGGCATTAATTAATTAAATATGGAATGTGCCGCTACTTGTAGCCATAAAGTTTGCTGAAGCTATAGGATCTTGTTAATTATTTCACCTTCTCATATAATTATAAAAAGCAAAACACAAGTGGTTTTACTACTTAAAATTCAACAAATTATACGTAGCGAAATAACATAGCCTGAACTGATCTGTAATTGGGATTGAAAGAAAAATAGAAAGGGAAGAAAGAATCCCTTGAGTATTTATTTTGAGCTGGGCTTAAATTGTTAGGGTTGGAGAATTTATTAAAAAATACAAATTTCAATTATATAAAAATTAAAAATTCAAGTAAAAACTAGTCGAACAGAAAAAAGAAGAAGCAGAAATGAAAATAAAAATCTCTACAAAATAAAGTCTCAAAAAATTATCAAAGAATAGAAAAAAAACATAAATCTAATGAGTAAGAATATAGAAACAAATACAACATATAATAACAACAAGTATAAGCAACAATATGAAATTTTAGTAAGAATATATTTAGTATTATAGTAATGGTAATTACTTTCTAAAGTATGTTTTATTTAAAAATACATTGAAATTATCTACGCACAACGAGCACCTCTAAATAAGCTTTTCAAATCAGGATAATTTGCATCTTTCTTATAAGCAATTTCTCTTACAGGGAAGGAAATGAAGTAGCAGACGACATAGCTAGAAAAAGCTCAGATAAATCTAATGAGTTTGCAGCGTCCTTTTTAACTCTTTCCATTTTTTCTTAGCCAATTCCTTATATATATTGCCTTCTTTTGATCAAGAAAATCTATACATTTTCATAAAAAGAAGAAGAAGGATGGCTAATAATAATCTAATTGAATTCACGATATTACCAGCAGCCATAACAGCACAAATAAATCATAGCAGACAAAGCAAACACACATATTTTCTCACATATGGAGTCTCTCACGCACACATCAATATTCTCTTGTCACCACCACATAATAAGACCAAAGTAAATACAAAATAAAGAAGAAGAGGCAGAACGTTTTCATCATCAAACTTAACATTACCAATTGGCTAAGACATTGGATCTATTTCCAACACCCTGAAAAACGCATCGTACAGTCCTCCAATATTTACTGATAGAGTATCATCGCCTTCGGAAATCTGTTGAGGGCTTATCTCACCTTCAAGTACACTGACGACTTCGGACATTTTAGGCCTGAGAGTAGGAGACAGATTAACGCACTTCATTGCCAAGTGCAAAACAGTGAGAGCCTGCTTTCTGTCGTAACTGGATGCTAATTTCTGGTCCACCAAGTCAAGGATTCTTCCCTTATAGTGCAAAACACTAGCCTACAATTGATGGCAGTATTACCAAACAACGCATGGTGAAGGGAGCCTTTATGCATGTAGTCATATACTAGCAGATGCGGGTCTTTAATAGAATAGCCATCCAACAATTGAACAAGATTCTCACGATCAAATATTTCAGGTTGAAGATTTCCCTTCGTAATTCATCTTTTCCATGTTGCTTTGATTGAGGAGAAATCTTCTTCACTGCTAATTTTATCTCGTTCGGCAATTCAGCCTGCATACACGTGAAGTCAATTTACCAGAGCTCTGAAAGAAAAAAGTGCATGCTGAGGAACAAAAGTTTCAGGAAAGAAAATCTGACCTTGTATAGTATTCCAAAGCGTCCCCTGCCAATCTCCATTTTGGGGCTAAATTTTCGAGTAGCATCGATTATTTGTTTGAGGGTGAAAGATATTCCTTGGACCTCTATAGTTATTTCTATTTGAAGAAAACATCAAAGTAAGAATTCCTAAGGTTGTGTGGTGCATAATGATTTTAGATTAGCTTCGAGAGGTGCCATCCAACTGGTTTTTCCGCAGCCAGCCCATTTTCCACATGAAAGCCAACAGAAGTAGAGGAGCAAATACTGAACCTGCAGTAATCCCTGCAATTTGTGAAGGAGATAGTCCCTTGCCAGTGTTGCCACCAACTTTGAAGTCTGAATACAAATAGTGGAAGACAGAGAGACAAAATTATTTATCCAGATAAAGTGTAATAGAAATCTTTGCTCAAGAAAATTAAGAAAATGCAATTCATTACTTGCAGTTACAGAAATGCCTGCCACAAGGGGTCCATTTAGAGACAGTGCAGCAGGTGCATAGGAAAAACCTGGCTCCCGGAAAGATCCTTTTCCAGCCCAGAAAAAATGGATATTCAATAGATGATCATCTCCAACAAATGTTGTGAAATTTGCAGTCCATGTCTTATTGGTGCCGCTGGCCATTTCTTTTATGTTGAAGTCTTTTAGTACTCTCTTCCCCTATATCAAACAGTGGATGTTGAACGATGGCAATTATTGAAAGAAGCTGCAGAAAAATATAGCGGTTACCTGTATATATACGTCAAAAACACGTTTCCCTAAATTCGAATAATCTTCATCAGTTTGGTAAACAGTTTCAGCGAAGTAAAGTTTCACAGTGTAATTTCCTTTAAATAAACAGAAGCCGTAATATGTCAGAGAAAGAGGACAGAGGCGAGTTGAGTTGTATAACTGTGTCGCAGCAGAATCACAAACTCCACAGTCCACGTTTTTTATGTAATCACTGGAATCGTAAGTTTTCGATCCGAAGTCTCCAGAGCAAGAATAAGCCCAATTTTTTCTTGGAGCTGAATAGTAATTTGATGTTGTCCTTTCTGCTTCAAACACTTTCCCATCAACAACTGTCTCTCCTCCTCCACAATTTATATATAAGGAATTGTCTGCAAAAAATGATAATCATTACAGAAAATCTGTCCTGCGCAAAATTATAGAGCTTCTCAATAGAACTTACACTTTGGTTTTCCCCGACATTTATTTTTCAAATCAAGTATAGAATTCCTAGAAATAACAAACAAAATTGGTAAGAAATAACTCATGATCATTTGTTCTTAATTAATGACACCATATGGAGGATATTACCATACCTGTTTGGTTCACTGCTTGAGTAGGAACAACATGCAAGCAGTTGGTGCACATGATACAAAATGATCAGAAGTTGGGATTTCATAGACAATAATATTCTTGCAAGTGAAAAAAAAGGAAGAAGAAAATGAAGTTGCCGTTATTACATGTTCAGCTTTCCTTCTCCTTTCTTCGGACCATCATCAAAATTATTATTATATGACAAGTCCCTGCAACATTATTGTTTACATATCAAGATTTTATTGAGGAAATCTACAAAAGGGAAAACAACCCATCTGAGCAAAGAGCACAAAGCCATAACATACGCCTTGTCTTCAATGGTATGACGAACCCAGGAAGGTACTGTGCCATTAAGCATATTTCCTGTAAGAAACCTAAACAAAACAAACCACTATGAAAACCATCCCATGTACTTTTTAACAGAGTGGCAGAACGAGCTTATTATAAGACATCGAGTTCAAGGAATCTCTTTTGCATACATCTTACTTAATTTCAGCTTTTTCATGGAATTTGGTATTCCACCAGTTAAGCTGTTAAAGCTCAAGTCTCTGCAGGATCAATAAAATGAAAGCAAACGTTAGCTTTTTCATATTTGATATATAGTTGTGCTATGGTCAATTATTGCATAGTTGATTCTGTAAACACATAATCAAAATCATCAACACTTCCTATGCATGGCCTAAAGGCCCTAAACAATGAGCATCTATAGAGCTTATGAAACAAAATAGCCATGACAGAACTACAAATCGTTTACAAAAGAGGAGATGAAACTTACAGGTATGTTAACCTTGACCAATCACCAATGTACGGGGGGATTTCACCACTTATTGAGCAATTCCTTATCATCCTACACAAACCATTGAAGAAGTTGGTGTTTGGATTTATCCAATGCATCCATATCATTAAGAGTCACGTACATAGCCATTGAGAATATCATTAAGAGTCACATACATAAATATCATTAGTCGTGATTAATATATATATTTTTTTAAATTCTCAAACCTGAATCCCAGATACAACTGGTCTTCACAGCATGTAATAGCTCATTAAAAAAAAAATTAAGATCATGTAAAAAAAAATAGGCCTAAAAAAATATTTATGTAAAAGAGCGGTCATAATCCAAATTCTACAACAATAACGCTCCCAGACAAATATAAAACAAAAATAACAAGAAAACAATATAAAATTAAAAAAATATGATCTTAATATATTTATATTATTTTTAGCATTTTTAATATAATCTTAAAAAATTTAAAATTTAAATTTTTTTTAACATGTTTGATATTTAACATAATAATTTTTAAATAATTAATTTTTTTTGGATTTATGTCGATATTACTTGTTTTTTTTAAATAAAATATAAAAATTAAAAAGAAAAAAATGAGGGATAAGTATAATACTTAGCAACATTTTATCTATAAATAAAAGTCACGTAAAAAATGAGGGATAAGTATGATACTTAGCAAGATTTTATCTATAAATAAAAGTCACATAACGTAAAAAAAATAAGTGTACGCAGGATGTTAATATTTTTTGTAATTATAATTAAATTTTTTTATTTTTGAATCTCTAATAAAAATTGACAAACCTAGATTTTTTTAGTGATTTTGAATCAAACAGCTTGTGGACCATCGATGTAGCGTGAGCACGTAAAACACATGCCATATCTCAAAACAATTTGGCTTTGCCAATTTGAAATTATAACAAGCTCAGAAAGAGGTGATGTTGGTGACAGCTAAGCTATAAGCTCATTGGCTCACTCCTCATCCATTGACGGATTAGGTGGTAAGGATGCAAATTAAAGTACTATAGCAATGTTAAAGTTTGCCGTACTAAGGAAGTTTCAGGCATTCTTCTTTTTCCTTTTCTTTTATTTACAAATCTCAATTTAGTTATGCACGTGAGCTTTTGCCCCTAGTGTGAGCTTTAAGGAAAAGACAAGGAAGGACAAACTCACAGGTAACTTATTCCCGTCATTTTTGCATGTTTTGGGAAAAATAAAAAGGCCGAGCTTCTTACATCACTAACAAACCTGGAAGAAAAACCATCCACAATAAAAACATGCATTTATTTCAACCCGGTTAAAATCATGGAACACTTACAAGTATCGGAGATTTGACATGTTAAAAAGAAGTTCAAGAGGCAGCTCTCCTTCAAAATCATTCCCGGCGTGGGACCTGCGTTCGGTACAGAAAAACACAAATTATTGAATGATATTCTTACTTTCACGTGTATGATTACAGAAAGTACATGTAATTTCTTACAGGTAACCGAGTCCAGTCCAATTCGCAATGAACCTTGGTACTTGACCGGTCAAACTGTTCCCAGCTACGCTGCTGCAGCCATAGTTAGTTGCTTTTCCTTGGAACAATAATTAAACAGATTGTTGGTTGAAATAACATGATGAGTTGCACTTACAACCACCCCAATCCCCTAAAGTTGGCATAATTTCCCGGCAGTCGTCCAATCAAATTGTTGGAGCTCAACCCTCTACAACAACAAATCAAAAGGATTGTAATCCACCCTTTTTATGTTTTATTTCTCCTATTACAATCAAAAGTTGACATTATTATTCTTCTTTTTGAAACTTACAAATAACCAAGAGATCCCAATCTTCCAAGTTCTGGTGGAAGCTGACCAATGAGTTCATTGAAGTCCAGGTACCTAATTAAATAAGAGATAAGAACCAAACAAAACTAGGCAAGTTAAAAGGAAATTCAAGGAGAATGAAAGAGCGAGCAAGCGAGTTTATATACATCGAATGGAGATGAGAGAGGTTGCCCAATTCTTTAGGGATTTGACCTGATAACATATTATACCTCAAACTCCTGAAAACACCCATAAGAATAAGACCACAATACTTGCGTCAGTAATGGAAAAAGAATTTAATTCACATTATATGATACTGAAGAGACTGTAATTGGATGACACGTACAGATATCGGAGAGATGACAAATCCCCCAAAGATGAAGGTATGGAGCCGCTGAGGAAGTTTGTGGAGAGATCGCTATGCAAATGTATTACCATTATTACTCAAATAAGAACCAATAATTTAAATTTTATGAACATTTATAAGTATCAAGTCCCCAAATGGCTGGCCCTTATTTTCATTTCTAACAAAACTAAATTCTATTAAAAAATCTTAACTATTACAACTACATGTTCAATCTATCAATTGTCTATTCAGTAACTTCTTCTTTAATTTAATGAAGCAAATTTGCGTTCTTAACTTAAATTTTCACCATTATAATATAGTTATGTAGTCCTAAACACTTTATTCTCCGAATGAAAATGAGATCTTAACTATTATTTGATGGAATATAATTTAGAAAAGCAAATGTTAGATATAATTTCATACAACTCTTAAAAACAGAAGTTACTATGATCTTTTCTTACCATTATATATTATTTTGTAAAAGAACAGCAATGGTATAAATTCACCCCAAGTATCGAAGATGTTCTCCTATAATTCATATAATGGATAGTTTTGGTTAGTGCCATTTGTTTTTTTAAAAAAAAAAATTGATGATGGATAGCTTGCTTTTAACTGAATTAGAAATAAAAATTGGACATGGAATGTTTCTGAATAAAAGTCAACATTAATAAAATACGTATAAACACTCAACAAGAATAAGAGCACAAAACTTGCATCAACAAGGGTTTCCCTTAACGACGTCGGGCGATAGCTCTACTCCTTTTTTAAAAAAAAAAAACAAAAAAAGAATTTAATTTTTATTTGATTGGGGAAAATAAAGATTTTATTGGAGTCGCCATCTAGTAATTTAAGGGAACTAGAAATCCAAAATTAGACACTGGTCCCAGAGATTCGGGTACTGGGTTAGTTATGATTAAGGGAAGGTAGACATCACCCTTAAAACATCCTTTCAGAGAAAGGTTACCTTTACTTGTGTGTTTTTCTTATTTGATTCAAATGCTATTATATTTTGAGCTCATTTGTAAATTTTTTAACATGGTTAACGTCGGTCCCTAAAAATAAGAGACGCATTAAAAATGACATCAGTCCCTAAAATTAGGAGACTTTGTCTAAAATGTCAACGTTTATCCCTAAAAAGGAGAGTTACGTCTGATTTACCAAAATAAATAATAATAGACATAATCCATATTTGGTATTTAATTTTTTTGACATCGGTCCTTTTCTGTAAATAAAAGAGACATGTCGACAAATAATATTTATTTTATAAAATAAAAATTGTTTTGATATCATTGACAAATAGATATATCAATTCTTGAAAATTTAGGTTTTTGACCCATGAACAGTGATATGATAAAATGGGTGTTAAACCCACGTCGTTATTTATTTTGGTTTGTTTTTGTTTTTTTTATGCAAAAATTTACAAGTATTTATATATAAAAATATCAAAAAATACAAAAAAATATCATAAAAAAATTACCTGAGTACCCCTGTGTGGCTCACGCGCGGTTACAGTTGACGGCGGCGAAATTTTCCGGTGAGATTTCGGTCAAAAGATGGTCGATTATGGTAGATATGAGGATGAGGATTCTGATGGTGGTGGTATAGTTGGCCGTTGATGGCGGAGGAGGGAGAATCGACGACTTGAAGGTCGATTGGCCGATGACGGTCGCGGCCCTTTTTCCAGCCACACTCGCCGGTGAAAAGGTGTAAAACGACCGGGGTTTTGCTTCAGAGGAGGCGATTCACGTTTCTGTGGTGGTTTCACGGCTTGCAACGGCCGGAAATTGGAGATCGGTGGAGAGAGAGAAAATCGCCGGCGAGAGGAGAGAGAACCTATGGGTTTTGCTACGGTGTGGAAGAGTGTATGGTGCACTCGTGCGTCTGAACGCTTTGAACCGTTGTATCGCGGATGAACAGATCCTGCGACTGTGATTCGCTTGATCTTCAAATTGATCGGGCGGTCAGGATTGAATGGTCTACGATCTGGTGTGTGGCGGTGTACCGAGTGCTCAGTACACCTGCTGACGTGGCGCCACCGGATCGAAGGTCAGATTATTTGAAAGGCTGAGATTGATTTGGGTTTTAATATGGTGTGGTAAAGCCTATTGTATCCTAAGAAATCAAAGGCTCAGATCTAAAGACTATTAGATCTAACGGTTGAGATATTTTTGGTATTTTTCAATTTATTAAAAAAAAAATTAATATCTTACTAGGTACAGAAAAGGTACAAGAAAAATGAATAGTAACCAAAAA